GAGAGAGAGAGAGAGAGAGAGAGAGAACCAGCAGGCTGTCCAGATTTAGGCCTGGCTAAAGCTCCTTTCTATAGTTCTTGCCATCTTTTCCCTATTTGCCTTAATCTAGAGGAGATAGAGGCTTCTAGGGGTTCTGGTAAGTAAGAATTTTCTTCTGTGGTACACATCTGGTAGTTTTGTATTAATAGGCATTACTTTATATCCAGTTTTTAAAAATAGTTTTATATTGCTAAAATGTACATTCTTATCATTTGCCCTCTGGAAGGCTTTTGCTTTCTTGTAATCATTTTCTCATTTTTAATTTGTTCAATAAGTGAACGTCCAGAAAGCCTGCAGTATGCCGGATTTGTTTTGGTTTGGGGTTTCTCTGATTTATCAAGGTCATTCTGGATGCTAATCAGGATCAGACTTCCTCCGAGGATGTGAGGCTTGTGATTAACAGCCTGTGGGTCAGTCTGCTTCCCAGCCTACAGTTCTTAGAGGTTGGACTCTTAGAAATAAATCCAATTTGCTTTACTGAGAGACTCCAATCCTCTTCCTAAAGCCATCCAAGGTAGTTATCACACTTCCTGCTGTGGTCCCACTTAACAGCACATTCGTGTCATTGTGAAAATAACTGGATAGACCTCTTGGAAAGGTTTGGGATGTTCTATTTTATTTGTTGTTAGGAACTAGAAAGTTCAGTCGAAGTTTGATAAAAAGAGTCCAGGCTGCCCCATTAAATACTCAGTGCTCAAATTCTACTCTCTAAGTCTTAAGGGGTTTCTTTGTTTTTTGTATCAGAGATCATATCCTTTGGTGAACCTAGCTGTGGAGGTAGGAACAGGCAAGAGTGAAGAACTTGTTGATTTAAGCAACTGTGATCATGAATGTCTACAGCAGTGAAGGAACCACACTAAGAAAGATGGCACCATGGGAAGCAGAGAATAGATGGCTGACGATCAGGATGTGGGGAAACAGTACATGTAGGGAAATGGCAAACGTCTTTGAACAAACTGCAAAATATTTCCAGTACTTTCTACCAAGTCTCTTCATTACAATAATCACTATAATAATTGTCCCCTTAGTCACTTCACAACGTGTCAACTTCTTTACCTTTAACCGTAATAAACAGTTATATCCCCAACAATGAACTTAGCATGAAATCGTTCTCTGTTCTAAACACTATATTTTATTCTCCTTTTATTTCAGTTGTTTAAAACTTTTTATCTTGAAAACAAAAAAACTCCAATCTTGCAGAAAAGTGGAACGAATAGCAAAATCAGCTGTAAATGTCCACCACCTAAGATTTTCCAGGTGTTTGTACATTGCACATTTGGGCTTGCCCTTGGTACACCGATGATAGGCAGGGGAGAGGGGAGGTAGATGGATAAATGTACATAGATACAGACAGGCTGGTGTGTGTGGTATAATTAAATGCTTAAAATAGAAGATAGATATTAGATATTCCATTATTATAGTATTTTATTTGAAATCCTTTGTAAACAAATACTGTATTTGTTTTAGAAAAACATATTGTGATGTGATTGTATGCACTTTCATACTGAAAATGATTTGTGAATAGAGATTTTCACCCACATTCTACATTTTATTTCATAATAAAAACCAAACCAATCAGCAATTAAGAATTATAAGGCTCCCTTCATATATCAATGGATATTTAAATTTACTTATGAGACAAATTTAATTACACTTAACTGTATAAAAATTGTGAGAGTACTGTTATTTAAAATTACACACTAAAATAGCATTCCAATAGAGAAAACAGGCTAAAGCTATGGATAGGAAATTTACAGAAAAGATAAACCAGAAGACCATCAAAAGTGAAGAGATAATCAATTTTGTCAGTAATTAGAAAAAATGCAAATTAAAATTGCAATAAGCTGTTATCCGCAGCTATTATATTGGCAGAAATTGGATAAGTAGATGCCAAACATCCCTGCCATAGCTGACTAGACTAAGGCATAGGGTGGCCAGGTGAAATAGCTGCTGGTGGCTTTGAGACATCTCATCTGAATCACAATAGAGCTGGCCAAGTCAGATTTGTCTTGGTATCTGTATTTAGAAAATTTTAAATGAACACTTAGGGAAGAAGGAAGAAAATTTAGGTAGATCCAGCCAGAGGGCCAGGATGACCCCACTGGGCCAGGTAGATGGAGTTGGGAGGGGCGGGGCTCCCAGCAGGTGAGAGCATTGGAAGGACCAAGCTGTGTCTGCATGGACCACCAGAATGCTGCATCTGCTGTCTCAGCATCCGCAAACTCAACCAACCACAGACTGACTATTCAAAAACAAAAATTATGACTGCCCCGTGTACAGACGTTTTTCCTTTCATTATGTTCTAAACAATACTGTATAACAACTGTTTACATAGCATCCACCTTGAATCACGTACTAAACGTAATTTAGAGATTTAAAATAAACAGGGAGACGTGCCGTCGGTTATATGCAAACACTAACCTGTTTCATGTAAGGAATTTCAGCATCTGGGACTTTGGGTGTCCTGTGATGGGGTTCCTGGAACCAACTGCCTGTGGTTACCAAGGGACACAATTGACACAACGGTCAGCGATGCCGTGGGACCTCAGAGGAAAAGTGCTTGTCTCAGTTTGTACCAGTTCCCTAGTTGCCAGCCCTGTGCAGCTTGAGTAGTTTCCAGCTCTCTTTGGAGGAAAAAGGAGCTGAGGGTAGAGTGGACCCAGAGCTACAAGAAAAGGAAGAAGGCTTTCAGAATTCCAAAGGAAATTCACTTCAGGGACTCTCATACCTAGCCAAGTAATCAAGAATGTCAGTAGAATAAAGATGTTTTCAGACATACAATGTAATGAAAGCCACTCTAAAATACAAAATGACCTCATGGGTGTTTTTGGGTTTTTTTTAATATCTTTTTGTAACATGCCAACATTTGAACAAAATAACTCCAGTGTTTCTGAAAGGATAATAATTGAGCAAATAAATATGTGATATTGAAAAAAATCAGTTAAAACAGACTTCACACTACCCAGTCACTCAGTACCTATTCATACCATATAGTAAATACTCCCTCAAATCTCATGGAGAAAGCTGGGCACGGTCGTGTGTGCCTGTGCCTGTCGTCCCAGCTACTGTGGAGGCAGAGGCATGGGGATTATTTGAGTCCAGGAGTTGGAGGTTAGTCTCAATAACATAGTGAGATTCCCCATCTCAAAAGAAAGAAAATAAAAGAAATGGAAAAGAAAAAGAAAGAGAGTATTTGGGCAATGAGTATATTCCAAGCATGGAAGACAAATAGGACATGAACCATACTGGTTTTCAGGCCGTTGACAGAACAGTCTGGGAGTCAGATATTAAAAACAAAAACCAAAAAACAAAAAAACCACCTGCTAATCGGTCAACAGGCATGACAGGTACTGTAATAGGAGAGTCAGACACTCCAGGTACAGTGGAAGCAGCACAGAGGTGGGTGCTGTGAACTCCACCTGGGAGTGTCACTGGCCAGGTGGTCTATTTGAGCAAGGTGTCGAAGGATAAAGAGTGAGCCAGTTTGGAATGGAGGTAAAAGGTGCTGGGGTGGAGTTGGACAGAGAACCTTTCAGGTAGCAAAAACATCTGCAAGGCAAGGAAGCATGAAATAGGAGGTAATTTAAGATTCTGAAACCTGAGAAGTGAAGAGTAGACTATAAGCTGAAGGTGAAGGTAGGGGCACTTTCAGCACCAGCAAACTCAATAACTAAAGGGAAGTTAACATCAGTGAGAAAAGGTAGGCAGGCTTAAGAAAAGAAAAGTGGTGAGGACCCTACCTTCCAGGCAAGAATCATCCACTCTCTTTGCTCTTCCTTGGACCTGCAGAGCCTGAGTTGGCTCAAACCTGCACAATGTGAAACTGTATGGACAAGGAGCAGAGATAGAGGATCCCCAAATCTGCATCCACAGGGTTCCTACACATACTGAGGACAGAATGTTAATTTGGGTAGGGAAACACAATACCTAAAAAAATATAAATCAATGGCTACTAGCAAAATAATCTATATTTATGTCTAAAGTATTAATACACTATTTCAAACAGATTGCTAGGGAAAAACTAAATGGGACAGTACTTTTGGAAATATGTCAAATAGAATATGACTGGTGACAATATTTAAAGAGAAGACTGGGGATTTTGCAGTTTTAAATTGTTAATGGTATTAATCATGGGAGATTCCTTGAGGAGGTCAAATGTTAAGGAAGCGTAACTTTTTTACTGAGGAGTAAAACTATTTCTGCCTTGGAAGTAATGTTTAAAGTCAGAGGATTTTTTTTTTTCATTTGGTTTGGATTTTATAAATACTTCAAAATTACAAATGATTATAATTAAAGAATCTTTTTCTATAGCAGAAACAATAGGAATTTTTTTTAAAAAAATCTATCTTAAATTATATATTATGTTAAAGCAATTAGATAAATGTAATTCATAAATAAATGTATATTTCAAAATCCTATTGAAATATTCTAGTTGATTGGGTTATAATTTTGATCCTACATAACAATTTGTAGGGCTTTGTTTCAGTCAAGCGGTAACAAAATTATCATTTAAAAACAGAAAAAGCACAATCATCTCTATTTACCATTCTCCTTCATGTGACTGGAAGGTAGAACCTGTTTTTACAATGGTACCCAATTAGTGTCTCTCCAGTGATTTGCATATTATTAACCTGGATAGACACGAATAGGGCTTCACTTCCTGGATCTCACATGGAGCCGCCACTCATGTAACAAAAGTTTCTTGGGAAAGCCAAAAAAATCAGCACACTTGTATTATTGGTGAAATATTTAGAAAGATAACAGAAGCTACCCTCCTCAAAAATGATGAGTTTGATGAAAAGAAATTAACAAGCTGTGTCGGGCTGCACATGATCAGCCATGCTTGCTGTCTAAGTCTGTCTGTTGGTTGTTGCTATGGCTACGAAAAGCCAGTGGAACCCAATGAGCTGTCTGCAGCAGTGCTGAGAGGACCAGCCATTTTACTTATGGAAAACAGGGTGGCATATTCTGCTGAGCTTTACTCTGGAAGAAGCATTTTTTAAAAATCTACCCAGAGAAAAGAGAAGCAATGTGTATGTTAGTATACAATTATCACAGCCATGCATGCCTACAAGCTGCTCTTTCGACAGGCTGTTGACCGCTGTTGCAATTAGCTGATTGGAGAAAGTGGAATGCAGAATGATAATGCTGCATATCTGCTATCAGGCAGCAGGAAAGGGTTTTGTCTTGGGAAGGCAAGCCTTGCCTGCAATATTATCTCAGCAGCTCCCTAGCTGCTTATCCTGGAAACTAGTGATCCAAAAGGAGGGTGTTGCCCTCTGCTAACACGGGTCCTGTGCGTGGCTGTTGCATATGAGCGGCAGGTCTGAAAAAGCAGGTGTGTGCTCGGATGGGCATTGGACTGTAACGCAGGCGGACGCTCTCGGTTTTACCTGCTTCCTGTTAACAGATTGTTGGCTCACAGAGCATCTGCTTGCACGCTGAGGCCGAGGAGGAGAAGGGGGTTTCAGACATCCCACTTGGCTGACAGAGGTAAGCTTTTTCAGTTTCCCCCTTTTGAAAGCACAGCATTAAAATAACTTGGAATGAAACTTAATCAGAAAAATTTACATTGATTGTATAATCTGAATTTACCGAGGAAACACAAAAATATATACAGATACACTTAGACACACTTTCACACTATAGTGTCAGAGATATAAAGAATTTAAGTTCTGGAAATTGTGTGATAAAAAAATATTAACAATATACCTTTGGGTCAAAAATAAATATTTACTGTTTTTAACAAACTATGATGGGGCTTGTCACTGTGAACAGTTTTTATAGCCAACAATCTTTCTCTCCTAGTAACAATGGATTCTTTTATGACCTACACTTTGACATACTGTAAGAACCACATGGAAAACCAGCAGCGTGTAAATTGTGAAGCATTTATTTTTAAGCCTCGTAACTGATTTGTGCAACTCTTAACACACCTGTGTATACCTTTAAATTAAGGAATGCCATTCCCTATGTAGGTCATTATAGTCAGTGGATTTTGTACTTGCTTATTCTGGATCGAGTGTCTCGGTGTGCTGTTTGGTTTTGTTCGGGGCAGTTGTAGAGCAAACAGTGTAGGTACTGGAAGCTGCTCACACCTCCTTTCTGAGTATCATGCATGCCAGGCTGGCCTGGAGCACAACACCCCCATTGTGCTCCCCCGGCTCAGAATCCAGGGAAAGAAAGGAAGTGGAGTCTCTGCATTGAGCTCAATCCCAGCTATAGTATGTGGCGGTAAAACTTCTTTTATTGCACAATTTTTCTCACAAGCAGATAGGTTTCAGAGAAGAGTGAAACCAAAAACACCACACACCTCATACAAATGTACACCAGTAATTGTAGCGGATGTTTGCTGTCAGTTGCTCTGAGATAATAGCACAGACTTTGAATTGCACTAGGAATTGCCCCTTAGTGAGTATTTCTTTGATTTATAGTCTCTTAGGAACAAAGCTGTTACTGTGGATTTTAAAGTGGTTAGTCCAATCAAAATCCCTGGTGAGGAAATGACCACGGAATGATTTTAAATTCTGTTTCAGCCACATTTCAGCTTTACCTGAGTCAATTCTGTTGTTGGTCTACCAGAAGGGCCAGATAGTTTATAATGCTCTTGAAAATATTTAATGAAAAAACATACGTTTGAAAACTCAAAATAAAATCTATTATCTACTGAAGGTAGAAATTTACAGTGAAATTTATACATAGTAGGTGAGATGACTTCAGGTAAATACATTTTTATTTGCTACCTTTTTCTCCCTAAACATAGATGGCATGAGGAGTCTCCTTATACTTTTCAGTATATTTTCATTGATACACGTGAGCATGAATCACCTGTTGTACAGATAGAGCGATTGTTAAAATACCTTCAGATAAGAGAATTGAAAAGCATAAGGAGAATTTTTTTTTCAAACTTTTGTCCTAAACGTCACCAGTATTCAAGATACAAAGATACAGACTAAGAATCTCAGTGCAGAGAAGAATGGCCAAATTTAACGATGAGAATACATAAAAGTAATTCCATGTGAATGTGACACCATATGGGAAGAGATGGTGAGGTGATGACATTGTGTTTCACTTATGTTTAACTTTAAAAGGAAAAACTAAATGAACAGCCCTAGCTCTGAGTCTAATTCTATGAATAAAAATTTCAGCCAAGTAAATGATTCTATCAGAGTAGAATGAACAGCAGAAAAAGTCTCTTTCCAACCAAATTCCCTCGGAACCTCTGAAAGAATTCCGAGAATTAACAGTGAAATGACTGGAGGCAAGAAAATGATTCCTTATTCGTCTATCTTGGGGGGAACTTTTAGAAGGACAAGGTGTGGAAATTCCCAAAACACACCTGAGGGCTGTAACTATTGCCTTTGAAGTGGCTCAGAATGGGACAAGAGCCGCACAGAAAGACGGACACATAAACTTTATACCTGTGCTGGTTTCTCCCTGCATTACTAACCCTTTAAGGAGACAGCTATGAAAGATGAGCATTCTGTGTCATTTCTGCCCAGTTGTTTATTCAACATTAGGAACCAAATTCAAAGACATAATCCTCATCTTTCAAGACTTTGCACCTTGGTTTTTGTATAATTTTGGACACTTGTTTTTTGCCACTTTCCAACTCCTCTGTTGGAAATATCAAATATTTTGTAATTTTCTGAATATGCTCTATCAAACACTTCCAAATGAGACAACCTGTTTCAGACTTTTCCCTTAAATCTTGCCCCTCAACACCAGCTGTCTTTCATTCTTCCTTCAAAATCCAGCAAGGATGTCTCCCCATGCTGTTTTCACACCTTCAGCTTCATATGAATTTTATGCCTACAGTTCTTTCTACTGCACGATATTGCATTAGTCTCTGATCACAGGCTTCCAATGTTTGGCTGACCTCTAATTCTGAAGTACTTTGTCCAGTGTCTGGTTACCAGTGGCATTCAGGCATTGTATCAGACTTCACTCTTTCTTTACTAGTTACTGTATAGACTTGACCTCAAAACGTAAGTCCTAATTCTGCCTTTCATCAGAGAAACCCAAAACCTTTAGAAAAAACAACAATGAGACTTTAACTTCCCAGACAGGAAAGTGTGGCTTCAGGATCACACTGTAGCATAAAAGCTGAAAGTGTTTTATGATAGATCAGAATTTTTTCTAAGGGAAAATTTTGCAACACATATTTTTTAAACAAAACAACTGGAAAGTTTTAATATAGAGATAAGTCTTTTTTTCTATCTATCTACAGCCATTAAATTAATTTTCAGGGGAAAGTAAGGATAGTAAGTATCCCTATTTGAAATTTGTTATAAATTCAGACTATTTACAACCTACGTTGACTTGATAACAAGTAGTTGATTGTTGTATAATATATTTACAGAATTGTTTATCATACTGAGGTCAGAAAAAAAGTAAAGATTGCAAACAGGAAAGAGACTGGACAGTTGAAATAAAGTCAACAATAGCAGAATTTATTTTTATTTTTCTAAATTCCTCTGAAAGGTAAATTGCTAGTTACCTTATCTTTCCTACAACTTGCGTTCCCAGGTGAGATAAAATTCTTAGCAGAATTGTTATTTTTAATAAGCCTAATTTTAATAGCTATTTTATGGAAAAATTACCACAATGCTATCATCAAAGATACATATCAGGAATTTTATTAAGCATCTAATCCCTTTCTCTCATATATCTGTGTCAAAAGTAAAAGTCGTATTATTACTGTATGAATTTTTGTACAAAAAATAACAAACACTAAGAAATTTAAAATATCCAGATGTTTAGAATCAGAAAGCAAAATATTTAGGAAATAACTTAAATTCATATTCTAGACATTTTCACATTATTATAACACCATTGAGTTTTCTAATAAAATAAGATAAATAGCAGTTCTTAATTAATATGCTATCTTCTAAAGATTTATTTTGGCTAACTTCTAGTTGGTTTTAATATATAGCATGTTTTATTAAATAATAGCTAAAGCTAAAATTGAAAATTGAAATTCATCTTAATAACTAACTCCATTTAAACTATTATTTTAAATCACATATAGTAATTAGATCTTAGGAAATACGATTGCATAATATATCTATCATTTTCACTATTTTATATTTTAAGAGATTTATAATATTTTGAAGGTCTAAATTACATATGATTGTATTTGATAGTGTAATGAAATGGTTGGCACTTACATTTTACAATGAAGAGTTGCAAATAAATGATCATATTAGATAATTTTCTAAAAGGCCCTCAAATAAATGATTTAATTATATATAGGCCTATTAAATTCTAAACTATTACTCTTCAAAATTATTCTAAGGTTTTCAAAATATCTTTGCATCATTTCTGAAAAAGTTAAGACATGTACATTTATCTTTAAGAAAATGTTTACATATCTAAATATTGGCAAATAACTCATGCTAATGTAAGCTCAATTAAAATGGTATTAGTTGGATGAATGACAGGGAACCAACTATGACAGGTGTTTATTTGAAGGTTTAATAGCATGACATATATACATAGATTTATATCACACTTTACTGTATCCTAGTCCTCAATACATAAATGTACTATTTACTAGCTAGGCATTTTGGCCAAAACAGCTGTGTTTTTCTCTTCCCTATACAAGTTTTCTATACAGAGTTTCAGCATTAATTTTGTGCTTTGGAAAATCATTATTTGAACAAAATTACAGAAAACTGTCACTTTTCCTGAGTCTAATTCAAGGAAAATACTCTTGTTTCAAAAAACAAAAAAATACCTTAGTAATATTCTCATTAAACTTCCAAATATTTTTATACCCTTGTTGCAATTTAGAAAAATTTAATAAAGAATCTTGAAAATTTCAATGATTTTTTTTCTTTTTTGTCCATTTATGCTGTTGTTTCCATTTTCAAATTTGGGTGTTTTTATTCAACTTAGACATTTAGTTCTTTTATCTTTTCTTAAGATGTTTTTTCAATAATTGGCAAGCATCAAAAATACTTTCCTGTAATAAATCGTATCCTCTCCTTTGAGTAGGATATAATTCTATACACCATTAAATAAGTTTAAAAAGTAACATGTGGTTGCTAAAAAGTGAGTTGACTTGATTATCAAGATGACTTCAATGCACATTGATTCATTTTCCTAATAAATGTTTACTGTAATGGCTGAATTTGAGGACAAAGCCACATAAGCCACTCAGGTTTCAAATCTTCTGATGTTCTACTCTCAATCTGGCATTCTTTAGAGACTCATAAAGCTATAAAGATCAGCCCTAAGGAATCCAACACACTTGAGCAAAAATGGGCTTCAAACTAAAAACAATGACATTCCAAGAAGGGAATATCAGAGTACTACCAGGAAATGACCTGAAGAATGGTTAGATTTTTAAGTGAAAAAAAAAAAAATTGCAACATTTTGGCCACATTGGAGGAAATTAGTAAAAATGTCCATTCTGACCTCCAAAAAGAAACCCTTGTACCTACTTCCTCCTGAGGACAGCTAGTTTCTTGGGGACATTAGTCTTCCAA